GATAATACGGAAAGGCACGACAGCTCCATGATGTATCCTGCCGCTGCGTCTCAGCGGGGCATGGGGGCTCTCCAGGACACTGTTGCTTTGTTGAAAAAAATTATCGATTTTGTTGAAAGTCCAGCTGACCAGATCCATGGGAGTAGTTTATGTTTCAGAAGATGTGTAAATAGGAGCTCTGATACACAGACGGAGAGCAAAAAAGCAGGAGGAGGAGGAGATAGGGAAGAAAGCCGTCCGTCTTGCACGAGAGCGAGTGAGGGGGAAAAAAGATCATAACTCATCCAATTTTATAGATATTGGGCTTAATTTTGGCGTGTTAGTAACTGAAAATCATCACGACTGATACTCTGAACACTTATGCAACATCTTTGCTTCACATGTCGGCAGTAACAGTTAGTGTTAACCATATTTCCCCTTTGAGTAAAATATCTGCTGAAGCAGTGGGTGGATTTTAATAAAACTACCAGAAATAAAGACCAGCATGTCTAAAGACGTCATCCCTTATCATCATAAAACATCTTATTTGAAAGATATTTGGCATAATATTGCAGTGTTTGTATATTATCTTGCATAATAAACCGTTTTTCTAGGCTTCTTTTATGGTATTGTCTGTTATGGCCGATAGTGAAGTTGTTTCTTCAAATGACTGCTGAAATTTTGGAAAGCAGCAAGGGATAACTCGAATAATCATCCAGACTTTAAACGCCTGCCTCCCCAGTCCTAAAGAAGGCGAGAAAAGAGACGAACTGCAGAATGATTCCCCAAACCACAGATATCAAGAAGACTCATTACACTCGCACAGACCGGACCGACTTCACACCAACTCGAGGCGTTAAAGTATCACAGATAGGACTGATCAATTCCTGCACAGATGTGAGGTTTCAGAAATGAAGCAAGTACTCCAGAACCCAAAGAGGCAGGGGACAGAACTGAGCTGGGTTGACATGGAGCGCAACATATTAAAAGTGCGACGAAGTTCTTCCTCATTTTGTTTTCAAAACATGATAAATTAACTCAGTTCAGCAATTCTCTGTTTTTCTTTATTTTATTGTTTTACTAAACACAAAGTTGCTGTGTGTCATCATCGATCTTCCCTCTCACACAAACCATATTTTACTGCTCCTTCGTGTTACTGAGTCTGAGTTTTCACATGTTCACTGTTTCGGCTCTGGTACTACCTCATTTTGGAGTACGAAGACATCAGGGGTGAGCTGGCTTCAACGCTCAGACGTCACACATACAGTATGGCCCTTTTTCATTAGTAACGGTACAGCACGGTTCGACTCGGCACGGTTCCAAGGTTTTTCCACTATAACAGTTCGTAGAACCGTTCCCTTTTTCAGTCTTTTATTCTCTGGGGTTCCGACCGCGCCGAACTGGCTCTAAAACATGACGTCAGAACACTGTCGGTCACTGATTGGTCAGGGGGTGGAGTCACTGGTTGTTTGAGAAACTTTCACAACAAGTCAGTCCGTCATTTGCAATAAATCGAACTCGAGGAGCGACTGGACCTATTTTAAAGATTTTAAAACAATAACGACAACACCGTGGTCTAAAGCTGAAGTGCAGGTTTTTTTGTGCTTGCTGGCCGACGACAAAATTCAGCGTGAGCTAGATGGAGCTCCACCAGTCCCCCCAGTCCTCTCCACTGGAGCCTCGGAGCCCCTGTGTAAATAGTTAATTTTTTAGACTTTTATTTTGTTTAGTTACAGCTGTTGTTAATAAATGTGCCTGAGTGACAACTGGGCCAACGCTTTGACTTTTGTTACTTTATGGAAAGAAAGACATATCAAGCTATATGTTGTATATCGCAATTTATCTTAAATATATTGAGATGTTCATTTTGGCTCATATCGCCCAGCCCTAATGGAAACACAACTCATACCGTGCCAAGCCGAGTCGAACCACGCTGTACCGGTACTAAAGGTGCTAATGGAAAAGATGGAGTGGAGACATCTCGGTCCTGGCCTGAGGTGTCTCGAGGAAGAGCCTTAAGTTAACCATGGATGTATCAAGACAACTGGATGTTGAAGCTGCTATGATTAAAAAATGCATCTTTCAGTTTTCATGTTCTGATAAATGAACTCCGGATTTGACATTTCTTCTTAAATTTGCTCTTTTTCTGTTAAATCTTTGAAAAACACCAACGATCACAGTTTGACAGATAAAATGTCGTAGCACCAAGAAGTCAATTCAATAAGATGTTGATCCGTGACGCCCGTGTTTCAGACCGTAGGTTTTTATTTCCTGTTTCTCACCTGCAGGACTTCCAGGTATCGTTCTTTAAGGTAAACAGTGTTTTAGCTCCGACACGTCTCGTATTTAATCTCGCGCAGCACGGGTGGTTTAAAGCTTCTCACTCCTGTGGCTGAACGTGCGAAGCTGCCGTGTTCACAGAAACTCAAACTAAATTTGGCCGTCACCTTTTCACTCCCCACCATTGTTTGGTTTCACATTTCTTTATTCCACAAAGGCCTCACTGACAAAAGGAGAAAGCTTTCTCTGATAAAACCAAGAGTTAATCTGATTTAACAGCAGCACACTCGGCACTCGGTTGAAGACGGCTTAATTTCAGGAGCACGGGGCCTTAACAAAAGCTTGCTAATGAGCTTTTAATGTTTCTTAATGACCTGAAGCTAGTCATTGTGCCACTTTGATTATGTTCTTTACTTTGGACCATTTGAGCCCAGAGAGTCAGAGTTTCTTGTGGTCAATGATGCCAGCATGCCCCCACTTGTTTGTCACCTGCTTCAACAGATGTAAACTCTTAAAGTATTTTTAAAATGCTGAAAACTCTGTTGGATGAAGATAAATCACACATTCAGCAGGTAATGACAAAGCAACCCCTTTTCTCTCATTAATCTGAGCTCAAGCTGTAATTTTTCTTTGGATTATGATTGATTCTTACACCGAGCATGAGTGAGCGAGCTTTCAGGCCATTAACAAGTTTTCTTCCGCCCCCTGCGATTAGCAAAAGCACCGTCCTGCCCCCACGTTGAATTCAGCCGAGGTTACTTGGTGCTGTGTGCAGCCGACGTGTGTGGTTCGTGTGTGCGTCCGCGGCCCTCAGAGTGTCCAGCTTTGGCCTGAAATACACATAGGAGGCTCAGACAAGGCAGCTTCCAGTGATGCTCCGTCCTCCCTGAACTGAACCACACACCCCGAGCTGCTTCTCCCTGTAGACCGGCTCAGGTTTGTGACTGTGTACTCTCTGTGCCTCCCAAAGGCAACACAGGCCTGAACTAATGGGTCTGCCATGAAACTTGGGAAAAAGTTACTCAATATTCTCATAAATAAGACAGAAATAAGAAAATAAAGACAAACTATTCTTAAGAAATGGCATTTTGTTGATACCCAGTGGTGCCACGGGAACTGGACCAGGACAGGCAGTGGTTCCTCTATAAATTGGTTTTGGTGTGAATGCACCTTCACACCAGCCCAGTTGTCCCAAACTCCAGCCCGTTTTCCTAGAAAGTCCGGTTCGTTTGGGGAGGTGTGAACGCGCCATCGAACTCTGTCACGGAACAAAAAGGTGAACTCTGGCCCGGGCTAAAACCTAGGTCTGGGTCCGGTAGAAGAGAACTCCAGCGCGGTTCGAGTGCAGTGTGAATGTAAACAGACCGGGCCCCGCTCCACAAGCAGGAAGTGGAGTACAGCGCAGGACAAACACACATTTCTCTCATATGGAGCCGTCAGCTGCCTTGTGTGAAAAACAACATTCTCCATGGTCTTCTGTCTCATCTTCTGCTCATGCTGAGTCCATTGTTGAAAAATGACAAAATATAACTCCTAAAACTGCTAAAACTTGACTCTACTCTGTTTTTGTTTTTATTTCTTTTATGTATGTGAATGTTCCTGTAAAGTCCCTGAGACAACTTTGTTGTGATTTGGCGCTTTATAAATAAACTGAATTGAATTGAATTTACAGAAGAAGAAGAAGAAGAAGACGTGTCTTCAGAGGTTTTTGTGTCGTTTCTTCCAGTAGTTCTTGGTGCAGCGCCCCCACAGGCGAGCGGGGGAACAGGTTGGTTCAACAGGTTGACTCGACTGCACAGTGCAGTGTGAATGCAAACGCACCAGCTCAAATGTAACAGAAGGTCATGAATATTGGTCCAGAACCGAGTCTACCGGACTATCAGCTGTGAAAACGACCTGAGATTGCCTGTGGCCCCCATCTGGCCACCCACGTTAATACCACGGTGATATTCTTCAATATTTTCCATATTTACTGCGTTCCATGTTGCCAGGTTTGTGGTATTGTCTCTGCCGCTCGTTCAGAGCCGGTGGCTGTGACCGGTAACACAAGGATGACAGAGTCAGTGGTCCAGCTCCCTCCCAAGACCGTCCCTCACTACAGGAAAAGAGAATTTTTATCAATGACGAGGACCCGTCCACCTCAGAGGTTGCTCTGAAATTCACACAGAAGGAACTGTACCTTCACCCTCAAAGGAGACGAGAAGCTTTTATCTTTCTATTCTTCTCCCAACCATTTTAAAATTTCAAGAGGGTCCTGCGTGTGTCCCTCACATGTAAATCTCACGACGTCCCACTCGAGGGACCGGCCTGATGTGTTTTCAGACTCGGCCTCTCCTCACATAAATCATCCTGACATGTGGCTCTACGCGCCCTCGCCTCTCATTTCTTGAGGTCTCTGCTTGGTATGCACCTTAATTGGATTCTGTGTTTGTGTTCAACATGCGTCATAACGTGTGTGTGCTTGTATGAGCGTGCACGTGTTGGTTGGAGAGTACACAGAAGATCTGATGTCCAATTTACTTTGTTAGGTTTTGTTTTAATCAGTTCCTCTCGTGTTCATCAGCACGGGATGTTTTCAGTGTTTGCTTTTTGTGGCTTCAAATCATCTAGTTGGTCAACAAACTGTGAAATGTTCTGTACAAGGTACAAACTTCAGATGTTGCTTCCTTTGTGTTCTTTGGTTTACCTCAGCCCGATGCTTTCGACGGGACCCTTTCAAACCTTTCCTTCTGTCCCTGCAGGAGGCCGAGTGGCACTGCGATGAGTTCACCAAGGGAGCGTGCTTCAGCCGTGGAAAATCTGAGGTGAGTTGACCGACATGGCTTTACGAGACACATGTTCCCTGCTGAGGACAAGAGCTTTCAGTTTTTCTAGTACTGTAAATGAAAACGGTTTTCTGGAGTAAAGTTTACTTTGTGACTTTAAGTTAAGTCAAGTCAAGTCATATTTATTTATAGAGCACAATTTAAAACAGATAGACTGTTATCAAAGTGCTTAACACTAATGGTAACACTGAGAAATAAAAAGCAGTAAGAATATACCTTAAAAAATTAAAACAACAGCATTAAAATGAAGACATGGATCAAGATCTACTAAATCAACTCACGCAGTATGAAACGCCAGAGACAACAGATATGTTTTTAGCAGGGATTTGAACACAGGAAGGGAGGTGGCATGCCTAATGTTGGGGGGTAGGTTGTTCCACAGTTTGGGACCCATGACTGAAAACGCCCGATCTCCTCGGAGCTTCAGTCGTGTTTTTGGAACGACCAAAAGCAGCTGATCGGATGATCTCAGAGCCCGAGAGGGAACATATGGTTCCAGTAGCTCAGAGAGGTAGATGGGTGCGAGGCCATTTAGGCACTTATAGGTCAGGAGGAGAAGTTTGAAATCCATCCTAGTTCTCACAGGAAGCCAGTGTAGGAAGGACAGAACTGGTGTGATATGCTCATACCTCGGTGTACCGGTTAAAAGCCGAGCTGCAGCATTCTGGACGAGCTGTAGCTGTGAGACAGAGGCCTGGCTGACCCCAGCATACAGTGAATTACAATAGTCCAGGCGGGTTGTGATGAATGCATGGACTAGTGTCTCAAGGTCGGGTCTAGACAGCACTGGCTTGAGCTTAGCTACCTGCCGCAGTTGGAAGAAGCTTCTCTGCAGAACCAAACTGATCTGTTTGTCGAACTTAAAATCCGAGTCAAAAACCACTCCAAGGTTTTTAACAGAGTGCTTCAGATAAGGCTGAAGGGAGTCCAGGTTCACAGGATAAGAGGCGGCAGCTGAGCTAGGGCTAAAGACAATGACTTCAGTCTTCTGGTCGTTAAAACTTAGAAAATTTGAAGCCATCCATGTCTTAATGTCGTCCAGACATTTGAGGAGAGGGTGGACGGAACAAGCACTGGCTGGTTTCAGTGGCAGGTAGCCACCTCTTTAGCTGAGATGCAGCTTCAGAGGCAGCTTTGTTGGTCTCAGGTTCATGGGAACATCATCTTCATCCACTGTTTTTGTAATGCAGTCCCTGAAAGACTCCACTTATACAAGATCTACCTGAAACTGAGACACCGGTTCACTTACCTGGTCACCATGTCAAGGTGCAAGCTGCAGGTGCAGCATAATATTCACCATCCATCAATAAATGATAACGTTCATCTCTTGGTGCTGGTTCTCAACCGTCCAGGGCCTGGCAGTTCCATCAAGCTGAATTAAAGTGAGCTCGGCTTCTTTCTCCTATACGTGAAGATGTTTCGCTTCTTATCCAAGAAGCTCTCACAAGAGGAAAGTTGAAAAGCCGAATCTCTGAGTTAAAGTTTTTAATGTTGACGTCTTTCATGGGACCAAAAAACTGGTTATTCTGGAAAACTGGTGGTTTATTGAAATAAACTGGTAAATGTTTTCGCCAATCATCTGTCTGCTTGACTGGTCTGGTCTAACTGGCACGTGTTGAGCTTTGGAGTGAACAGAAATGATTAAACTTTCTTTTCTTAAGAGACGTTTTATTCCCATCCCTCACAGAAACAGGTGTTTGAATTAAGCTGCAACCCCCTTGATCATTTTGCACTTCCCTGTGTACGCTAATCTTAATGACACACACACGTTAATAAATAGTGTTTAAATGGAAATGAATGAAAGGTCTCTGGTGTTATAATTTCTCACAGGATTATCAGCACTAATTAATATCTTCTTTGACTAAATTTGTATATTGTAAAAAGAAAAAATACTCAATTTTAATTTTATTTCAAAGAGTGCATCACGACCAAACGGCTAAATAAAGTCTGAAAGCAACACGAGGCTCTTTAGTGTGGAAATAAAGACGCCGAGGGAGTTTGACCGTGACCTCAAAGGGGATTTAAATCAACTGATTGTAAAGTAAAATGCTCCTCATCTATACTTACGCCTTTATTTATAGGGTTTGTACAAAAGGGAGTTCCTATTGTTTTATGTTTCTCTTCTCGGTGTGTATTTTAGTGTGTGGTTAGCTGGCAGGCCCTTGTATACGAAACGGATGGTTTCGAGCTGAACTGAACTTGTAGGTGAACTGCCCGGCCTCGCTTTCTGTGTGTGTGTGTGTGTGTGTGTCCTCCAGTGAAAAGCTGGTTAGGGACCTATAATAGGCCTGCACATGGCCGCTGCAGTGAATTACAGACCAAAGCTGCCTCAGACCTCGGGAGTCGCTGCAGTTTGGTGGAGCTGTGTTGTTTTGTTCAGCCTTCCCCTCCGAGCATCAGCTCCTGTGATGCACACTAAGAATAGCATTAAAAGGCTTTTTCTCCCAACGGTTGACAGAGTTTTCTATGGTTTATTACCTAGCTCAGTGCGTTAAGCTATGCCCAGATACCATCCCTGCGCTTTAAGTGAATTTGCCAATGATTGCATTCTTTTATTAGTTTTTAAACACGAGGCTCCGTTCTTCTATTTTCTGTGATTTATTTCGAGGGGGATAAGGAATAAGACTTAAATCGCCTTGACAGGATGTGATTACTGCCTCTTTGATATTTTACGATCCCGACGCCTGCTGTACTTCGGTACAGATGTGGAAAATTTGTCAGGAAGGTTTCATAAATGAGTCAAGACTGCAAAAACAGATAAACATTAAATATACCTTTATTCACTGAACAAATAAACTCTGGAAAAGAAGTAAATTATGCAAACCTTTTCGCAGCTCACATGCATGGTGGCAGTTTTAAACAAGGACACCTAAATGCTGTAGTTTGGTGTGTTCAGGACCAGAGAGCTAGTTTTTTTTTAATGCAACAATGTTCACCTTGCTGGAGGGAAATAAAACTTCTTTCCTCGTTTCTACGGCAGCCTCCACTCCTAAATCAGCCCCTGGAGAGGGGAAGGAGGGGTTACTCTGGGCACCTTTAGTGGCTCAAACAATAGCAGATTTACAAGGTTTTAAACTTTTACAAGAACCCAGCCGTGGCCCCTGTTACATGGAGGGTACCCTACAAGTTTACGGTCTGTCTCACGACAAAAACAAATGGCGCTCTCTGAAATGAATACTGACTACCTTTCCATTTACACCCGGGGACTGTTGCAGAGGGAAAGCACTGGCCAGCCTCAGTGAGAGGAGGTCCTTTCTGTCAGGAGTTCATGAAGTTCAACACCAATCCGTCTTTCAGTCAATCATTTCCACCGGCGGCCCCGCTCAACATGTTGAGGGCTGTTAACCAAGCGCTGAGTGGATTTTCTTGACACCCAGAAAAGAATAGAGTCAAGGGAAGGCTGGTGAGCATGTACTTCACCTAATTTAGAGGAAAGTGGTCCAAATTGATTAGTGGAGGCAGCAGGCTGAAAAGAAACATGATTGAATGAAGCGTGTGAGGCGGTTTCCATGCGGCCTTCTGACCAGCCGACAAAGCCAAAGGCAATTTTCTAAACTAATCCTGAGTGGCCCTCTCCCACACCTGTTGCATTTATCTCGTCTCCACCGTGTTACGATTCCTCTCCAGTTCGAGTCCCGGCTGAATTAAGATGTGACACAGCTAAACCATGTAGGCATTAGCCTTGATTTGACTCTGCGTCGCTTGGCCACGTTTCGGAGCAGCCCTGCTGCTGTTCCAGGTGCTTTTCCTATTTATTGGCATGAAGTGTAATTTGGTCCCTCTGCCTAATGTTGCAGCTTGCCAGTGGGTAGATAATGGAAACGCTTCTAACTGTATTTTTGTTGCTGTGTTTCTGCAGGAGGAGTGTCAGAACTACATCAGGGTGCTGCTGGTAAATGGAAACAGGCTGTTTGCCTGTGGAACCAACGCATTCACGCCCATCTGCACCAACCGAACGGTACGAACAAATCCTACACGACTACTGTTGGAGTGTACGTGTTTGATATCAAAGCCTCTTTCATACACGCAGTGCTTTTCACTAATCTGACAGCAGCTAAAACTTTGTGTCATGCATGAACCCTGGTTCTTTTAGGGGCATTTTACCAACTAGGTCTTTATAAACGGCACTGATATATAAGTATATATTTACATATGTTCAAGCCTGAACTCCATGCAGTCACATTAACTGCATTAAAAGTCACGCTCTGCAATAGTGAAATTTACATACACGAGTTGACAAATCATGCTTTCCATACATAACTGTACTTTCTGAACAAAACCGACTCAAAGGTCTTGCCTGCAGAATAATTAGCTTGCAGTGCATAGCTGCTTTTTATGGCTCTGAGCTAAATAGATGAGGAGAATAGACGTTTGCTAAAAGCATTAGAGATGCAGCTTTTATTCTTTGACTGCTCCCATTCATCACCGTTTACTTTGATCCAGTAATTTCTACTGCAACAGGAAATTAGACCAAAAAGGTGGAAGTCTGTGAGGATGTAACAAGTGGAGGTAGGAATCTGTAGGCACTCCACGATTAGAGTCTGATGCCAAACAGGGTCTGCACTGCGATGATAACACAATCAATATGTATTTTGATTGTGTTGATACACAAACACACACACTGTGTGTCTACTTAGTAGCTTTAAAGTGAAATATGTGTAGTCTTTGAAGGAAACGACTTCCAGTCACTTATCTTTGTGCGAGTTAATTACCATTTGTACGTTCAATACACTGTCCAGGTCAGTCTGTAATCCTGAGGCTGCAGGTTTGAGCCCAGGCTGCAGCAGACATGGCATCTGGTCCTGGTTACATCTGGCCCTGGTTACATCTGGCCCCGGTTACATCTGTCCCTGGTTACATAATAATAATAATAATGTCATCACAATGTCAGCACTGTATGTTTCCATACAATGGCGAAATTAGTCTCTGCATTTAACCCATCCACCACCAGGTGGTGCAGTGGGCAGCTATTGAAAGCGCCCGGGGGACATTTTGGGGATGAGACGTGCTGCCCAGAGACGCCACGTGATGTGCAGTGACTGGGGATAGAACCTGGGACTTTCTGGCCCCGATTACATCTGGCCCCGGTTACATCTGTTCCCGGTTACATCTGGCCCTGGTTACATCTGGCCCCGGTTACATCTGTCCCTGGTTACATCTGGTCCTGGTTACATCTGGCCCTGGTTACATCTGGCCCCGGTTACATCTGTCCCCGGTTACATCTGTCCCTGGTTACATCTGGCCCCATTTACATCTGGCCCCAGTTACATCTGTTCCCGGTTACATCTGTCCCTGGTTACATCTGTTCCCGGTTACATCTGTCCCCGGTTACATATGTTCCCGGTTACATCTGTTCCCGGTTACATCTGTCCCCGGTTACATCTGTCCCCGGTTACATCTGTCCCCGGTTACATCTGTTCCCGGTTTCGTCTGTCCCCGGTTACATCTGTCCCCGGTTACATCTGTTCCCGGTTACATCTGTCCCCGGTTACATCTGTTCCCGGTTACATCTGTCCCCGGTTACATCTGTCCCCGGTTACATCTGTTCCTGTTACATCTGTTCCTGGTTACGTCTGTCCCCGGTTACGTCTGTCCCCAGTTACATCTGGTCCTGGTTACATCTGTTCCTGGTTTCGTCTGTCCCCGGTTACATCTGTTCCCGGTTACATCTGTCCCCGGTTACATCTGTCCCCGGTTACATCTGTTCCCGGTTACATCTGTCCCCGGTTACATCTGTCCCCGGTTACATCTGTTCCCGGTTACATCTGTCCCCGGTTACATCTGTCCCCGGTTACATCTGGTCCTGGTTAC